GTGTGTGTGTGTGTGTGTGTGTGTGTGTGTGTGTGTGTGTGTGTGTGCTCGTTACACTCCAAGCCTGGGCGCCTCTGAAACCTGGTGTGCCACTTGATAGCAGCCAGCCCCCTCTTCATCTTCCAACACTCACTTTAACACACACACACACATACAGAATTAAGCCGCAGCACATTTCTGTAGCAACCGGTTACGATTGGTAAATAAATGAACGGGGCTTTCCCTCTGTAGGTCAGTGTTTGTCCATCGTTCACATTGCTAAGCCGGCTTTGGAGGATTTTTATTATTGACCCGTCTAATTTGCTTTTACACCTCAGCCCACAAATTGGAGTCATTCAGTTCATGAAGGGAATAATCTGAATCCTCAGGATGAACTGAGTGTGCTGAATCAACAGTGTCACGGACCGAATCAGCAGCTCCTTGCATTGGTGCTCGCGTCCCTAGTGTCTGACGGTGTACGATATCATAGTAGGGGGGAAAAAACGTAAAAACAACGTAGACTTGATAACTCTGCTGCAGACGTTAAACATTAACGTTAGCATTGCCTAACAGAAAATGGACGAAGCATGACTATATTAATCTGTGAACTGAAACTCGAATGAGCAAGATGATCACTTCCACCGCAAATCACAAGAGCTCCAGCAGAACACGCCTCTTTCGTACAATCATCACAGAATGGGAGGCATCTTTTTTGAGAAGCAGACGGGGCGCGTGGAGGAGCGCTGGGTTCAAACAACGGAAACAAATCCACTCAGAGGATGCTCCGGTAAAGTGGGTTAGCAGGCCCCCGCGGCTCCCGGGATCTCAACCAGCAGCCGAAATGAGGACGAGGATTTTCCTCCTGTTTCATGTTGCTCCCGAGTGTGTGGATGTGATTAATCCACCAGCACCGTGACACTGACTGTATGTGTAACTAGCATTAAAATGGTTCAATTTCAAGATATAATAATACATTTACTGGCTAACTTCAGTCTAGCTGCTGAAAAACACATTGGGGGGGGTTCGCTTGGTTACCAGAAGCGAAACTAATCAGGAGCTCATGTCAGGGTTGCACGACATTTATCTTAGCTCCTCCCGGAAACTTGTCTCTATAATTAATGCCACGGCTGCAGCTAAATGTCAATTTGTGCACCCACACCCGATAGGTTTCTTCTCTGCACCCCAATTTGAGCGGCGGCCTTTCTTCCTTGGAGGCAGAGTACAGTCTTCTGGAAATGGACTCGCTGCTATGATAGTGAGGAGCTCATTACCAGCCTCATTTATCATCTCTTCTCTCTGTCCGTTCTCTCCTCCCTCTCTCTCTCCCTCCTTCAGCTCAATGAGTTGTTCAGGAAGTCGGAGGCGCACAAAGACTTTATGAGCGTCCGTGTCCGGAACCTGGCTCCCAGCAACTCCATCCTGGCCTTTGTGGAGGCCCACTTCAAACCAGGTGAGAGATCTCTGAAGAGGGAGCAGAAGATTTGAAAAACTGAAAAATGATGAAGTACAGTTGCCAATAGAGAGCTCTATGCGGTTCAGTTATGGTTTGTTCCCCTTTGTCTTTTAGCAAGTCAGATAACTACAAAGAAATCTGACTGGATTTAAATGAAATGGGGATGAAGGTTAGCCCACCAGCCAAGGAAGACCTAATTATTATTTTTTATGCTGAATTAGCCACCATTTCACCATTTCTTAAGCACTTTACATTTCCACTCGTGACTCCTGGACTGTAAGGCAGAGAGGCAAAATTAGTTCTACTGGATTCCTTGCACCAGCACCTCATTTTTTATTACTCCTCCTATACATATAACTACGTGCACACTAAATTTAGAGCATCACGGTTTTAGATCCTTCTTTTTTCTAATATTCCATACAGTTCTCTTGTTCCCCAAAACAATTGCAATCATATTGTACCTGCACATCCTCACCCTGAGTGCTGCTGCACACTCAAATGGCATTTTGCCCCTACAGTATAGGTGCACGGTACAGAAGGCACTACTGCAGCAGCAACAAAAACTCATTTAAATGCCAAGATTCATTTATTGCTAAGTGTTTTCCAAAAAAAACTTTATTTCTGATGCAGATCCGGATGCGGGTTAAGAACTATTCTATTATTAAAAAAAACATTTATAGGATTGTGCTTCCTCGGCATTTTCAATTTCTTCTCAATGCCAACTTGATCTCTTGCAACAATTTGCCCCAGTGTTAAAAAAAAGTGCTCCCTAAATGGCCATGAAGGTGAGACTGTTGTTCTCTGTTTCATCGCCTCTTTGTGTCCTGTGCCCTTAAAGGAACAGTTCGGCATACTGAGAAAAACACAAGTGTGCCCAACAGCCCGACACAATTCACAACAGAAATGGAACCTGCTGTTACTCTTGAATTGATTGGCAGGTGTTTTAATACAGTGACAAACACTGGAAAACAATTAATAAGCAGTTAGTCCTTTCTTTAATCTGTTAAAGGTTTGTTTACATCACTAATGTTGTATTCACAAGCTTATACTATCAAAAAGAACAAATGAATCCACTAAGAACGTGCAGATTTCTCATTAGCAGTTTGTGTGTGTGGATTCAGTTCAAAATGATATGGTTGAAGCCTCAACTGGGTCTTAAAGCTCCTTTTGTACCAAACAGAACTCCACCCTGCCCACTCTGTCCCGCTTTTTTAATTTTACAACCGCCGTTTAGTGTCCTTCATAACCTTCGTGCAGGGCAACGCTGAGCGGCGCTCCTCCATGGCCTGTAAAGCGAACATCTGCAGAGAACGTTATGAGAGTGATTCATCTGGAAAAAACCGGCGCGGGTGGGGGGGACAAGTGGTCCCTGAAGATCCTCCACCTGTCATACACAGGGCTTTCTGATGTAGTCATTGCTCCGCCAAAGCGGCACAGTCCCGTGTTTGATTTGGAGTGCTCCTCGGGGGCCGTGTCCTGAATGGTCGTGCCTCTTGTTTATTGTAGATACGAGATACACGGTGGAGGACATCGAAGGAGCCCTGCTGAAACAGCTGAAGGCCTCTAAAGAGACAAGCATCGCCGTGAAGAAGCCGGAGGACGAGAATATTCGCTTCACCAATTATGGTAATACAGTATGGGTTTTAACAGGAGTGTGTGTGGATTAATAAAATGAAAAGGGGGTTTTAAGTTATTCATGAGGTGATTTATCAAAGGTTTCACGGGTGTTGAACAGGAAAATCTCAGGACTGCAGGCTCAACAGACTTTAACTTCTTTTACTTTGTCTAATTTCTATTGTTCTCCTTTGACAGGCCTCGCCTCCATCCCCTTCTTCACCACCACCACTACGGCGTCATTCACCACAGCGGCTCCCACCACCACGTCCAGCACCACCACCACGACTACCAGGCCTCCGCCGACCTCCCTGTACATCACCCGACGCCCGCCAGGCACTACCCGCAGGCCTTACAATGGCAGGCGTACCACCACCACCTCCGCGCCGGTCACCACGCCACTGCCAACCACCACCACCACGGCGGCGGCCATCACCACGACCGCGCCGCATCCGGCAACCACCGCGGCTCATGTCAGGGGCAGGCTTCACCACAAGCCGCAGAAGCCCTGCAGCTCCCACCCGTGCCTCCACGGGGGCACCTGTGAGGACGACGGCAACGACTTCAGCTGCAAGTGCCCCGCCGGCCGAGGAGGCTCCGTGTGTGAGAAGGGTGAGTGTTGCTTCATTGTCTTCACGCATTAGGAGGCATTTCATCTCTCATATCTGTTATTACTCTCAACTGTTTCAAGGTTCGAGCTTATTTCAAACGCATCTTAGAAAATAAGCTGGATCAGACTTTCCTTGTACTGTAATTTTATGCATTATTGAAATTTGAAACCACCAAAGGGCTGACTTTTACAGGGATTTTGCAGCAACTAATAGGGTTTTAGGCACTCCCTTTCCATTGTGCCAATCATGCCTTTTAGCTGTTCTGTAAGTGCTTTAATATATTTATAAAGTAGCATGAAACACAGCGTTATGACTTAAAAAAATATATCAAATATAAAAAGAATGTTTCATTTCATGAAACTTTTCTCGTAAAGAAGAAAAAGACACAGTTCCTCTGTTCGGCCGTAGTTTTGTCTAATTGTAGCTTCACAAAGTGACACCTTAAGTAGCCGTGTGAGTAATGACTTTTTGTTAGTGCTGGAATATGTAAATGCAGAGTTATATCGTCACGGATGATTTATTGGGTCGTTTAAAGCGCAACAAGACAACGGCAATCAGAGCTCCGCGCAGAGGAGCGTCTACTAGATGTTCTCAAAAAAAGACTTGAGAACAAAGAAGTTTCGGTGCGATTGAGTCAGACACAACACGAAGCCTCGAACTCATCTCAAGTGATTCCGACAGGTTCGACACCTCGGAAGTGAGCAACCGCTGAGTCGCTCACCAAAGGCAACACGCAATCCAATCAGCGCCATGGAGAAAATCATAAATCAGAGAGAACTTCCTGAGAAGCACAACTCTTTTGCCCCCCCCCCCCCCCCGTCCTTTACGCTTCTTTGGGATTTTTCTGGGGGGACAAGGAGCAACCTCACGCAGCTGCATCTTAAGATAATTGACAGTAATTGCTTTGATGGGGATTAGCTGGTGAGAATCAGTGTGTCTTCGAGTGGCTAAATGAACACACGCTCACGCATGAAAACTGCACGGCGGCCTCCCCCAGATCAATCAAGTCATTAGAAACGAAGGAGCTCATCAGCTGCCATTCTCCTCAGAGAGACGGACAGAAAGACAGATGGACGGAGAGAAAAGGAGCCCGGGGGGAGAAAATGGATGATCATGATCATAATTGCAGAAAAAACAAAGGTTTCCTCTGTGTGTGTTTGTGTGTGTGTGTGTGTGTGTGTGTGTGTGTGTGTGTGTGTGTGCATGAGTGCTTGAATGTGTGTGAACAAATCAGCTCCTCCTCCTCCTCTTTCTCAACCTTCTCCTTTTGATAAGCCGAACAAGCGTTTTCGAGAAAAACATCATTCCTGAAATAAACTGACAGAGAGGCTTATTTCTCCGCCATCAAGAGCCAGCGGCACACCCCCACCTCCGCTCACGCTTAATTATGCACATTAAACGCCTATTATGCCGCGATAAAGCCAATCATGTAGTAATGACAGGATTGGCTTGTTGTCTTCATTCCTCCACAGTGATCAGATACTTCATCCCGTCATTTGGGGGCCAGTCGTACTTGGCTTTCCCGACCATGAGTGCCTATCACACGGTCCGCATCGCCATGGAGTTCAGAGCATCCGAGATGACCGGCCTCCTGCTCTACAACGGCCAGACGGGCAAGAAGGACTTCATCTCCCTGGCTCTGGTCAACGGCAAGGTGGAGCTCAGGTGAGCGCTGTGAGAGTGTGGGGGAGGGGGGGGAGGGGGTCAGCGAACCTCGTCAGCTGTTGATTCCGCTGCTTTCGTTCCATCAGAATTTGACGAAAACCTAAATGATCCCCATGGGCTCATCAGGGTCATCAGCTGAGAGAGAAGCACAGATAAGAATAAAACAAATAGGGAACGCTGAAGATAATGAGGCAAATAATTACAGCAAGTAAACATGTTGAAAACACCACTGCCAGGAAAAAAACGAAAAAGAAAAAGACACAGAATCTTCTTGACAGATTTGCAGACTAGGACTACGAAGGCAGAAATGTGTTCAAACTTGCAAACAAGCTGTTCTCATGATCACATTTACAGATGGTGGGGACATATGCACGGAAATATGTGCAGGATGTCATCATTTGGCATTTCATTTGTATTTTTAATCACATATATACAGATGTAAGGTATGTGTAACATTTGTCTTTACAGATGGAGGCAATGACTTACAGACGTGTGTCTAGAAAAGATTCACCAACCACCTGAGATTTACTATCATTTATTTATGTTCATTTGCAGTATGTACACTACAATTACAACATCTGAAGTGACATTAGGCTATCAAAGGAAATAAATCAATGAGCAGGACTTCTTTTTGCAGCAATGTGATGAATTACCTTAAGTTGGATCCCATGCATCCCATAATGCACCTCTATAGTGTAAAACAGCCTCATTATTCAATATCCATATCCTCAGTTTAAGACTTGCAGACAGAAAACCAGTGTCAGTCCTTGTGACTAGTTAATTGTCTTTGGCAGGTTGAATTGATGTCGCGCCCCTTTAGGACCTACGCGTAACGGGAATTGAACAATATGCATCTAGTAGTAGACGGACATGAGATCTGTTTAAATTGGACTATTTTCCTGCCAGAAACCTGCAGAAGCGTATTCATCTCTTCCCCGCAGTGGAAATGTATCCATAACAAAAAAAATCATTCGGGGTAAGCAGGCAGCGTCTTCAGGAGAGACGTGAATGGACTAATTAGAGATTCTGCACCGCATCTGTTTTGGACCTATTTCAAATAATGTCTGCTTCCCTTATCTTTTGTCCCCCCCCCCCCAACCTGGCCAGGTTAGATTTCTCCATTCAGAGGGAAGTCAATAGTAAAACTAAAGGAGATCATTAGTCACTTGTGCTTTGAAAAAGAGCCCCGCCTCAATTCCAGAATTACAGCTGTGAGATTACCACCCACAGCTCTGCAGATCCAAGACGTGGGGAGAAGAACTAATTATTTGTGGCAGATAATTGCTCTCAGGTTGTGCTAATGCTACCATATGTGTGGGAGCACATACACGACGGCTCTTTTCTGTGATGATACGGCCTTTTTCTCAGCAAAACCTCATTAGATAAAAGAGGGTGTGAAGATGCTTTTTTTTAAGTGAGTCACTGCCTCATTGCAGTCACATAGTTCGGAATCCCTAATGGGAAGTCCTGTACCTTCTTTCTTCCATCTCTTTTTGTCTAGTTTGCCGATTTCTGCTAGTCATTCGGCGCTGCTCGATAGAGAACAAAAATATCGTGTGGAAAACAACCTCCTTAAGTGCTGTGAGCTGAAATGAAGTGCACGACAGGTATAAAGTGGTTGCTGGAAAAATGTTGGACTGAATGAACATGCTTTGCATCTCCTCTTCTCAGGTTCAACACGGGTTCGGGCACAGGCACAGTGGTCAGCAAAGTACAAATCAATCAGGGCCGCTGGCATCAGCTGGTGGTGACTCGCAACCGGCGCAACGCCATGCTGAGCGTGGACAACGAGCCGCACAACGAGGGCGAGAGCCCACGAGGCACGGACGGCCTCAACCTCGACACCGACCTGTTCATTGGCGGGGTGACCGAGGACATAAAGCAGGAGTAAGGCCTTCTATCTACAGTTACAGTGTGTGTGATAACATGCAGGGAAGTCCATTAACTGTGGCTTCTCTTCAATGAAACCTTTTAATCGATAGCGCTTCATTTTGAATCCAGTACTTTAATCCAGCTTTTTGTCTATTTTGCTGACCGCTTCCGACTCTCTACTTACTGACCTCTGTGGATTTAGATTTACCATCAAGGGAGCCCTGGTAAACAAAAAAAGTCTGTTTTGAATATGCAATAATAATTAGTAAGAATATGCTATTCACAGTACCAAGTAGTATTGAATATCTTCAGTCAAACGATACCTGATGTCATCCTTTCTAGACCCAGCTGTGTAAAAACATACTATTTGTATGGTATCAAATGAAGTACTCTACAGGTAACAGTATCCCTTTAAGGGTGCTGGTATTGGCACTGGTATAGTAATGTTTGAAATGATCGCCAGCCTAATAGCATCTCCTTTACCCTAAGCTCGTTTTTATTCAGTGACTATCAGTAGTGTGATTATTGCAGCTGTCGGCTGTGTCAAACTTTGCATTCACTCCCCTTTTTTTGTTGTCTTCAGTGTGAGGGAAAGGACAGCGGTGGCCACGGGTCTAGTGGGCTGCATCCGCCTGCTGGATGTCAACAACCGGATGCTCAACCTGCAGGAGAGCGGGGGCGACAGCATGTACGGCAGCGGCGTTGGCGAATGCGGCAACGACCCCTGTCAGCCAAATCCCTGCAAGAACGGCGCCGCGTGCCAGGTCAAGGAGGCGGAGATGTTCCACTGCAAGTGCAGCAAAGGATTCTGGGGTAAGGTTGCCAACAAAAAGTAGAGGCTTCAGTACCGCAGCGGTGCAGGTCAGCAGAGTTCCTGAGGGTCGTACTGGGATATTTGGACAGCCATGTAGTTTTGAGAGGTTTATTCCAATGTACGTGCAGGGAACTAAGTAAAATATATGACAATTCTAATGTGAATCCTTGTTAAAAATATATTTATATCTCTACTCTGCCTTCTCTCCTGGGAGTCCCTGTGATCATGACTTACTCACACATCCTAAGTAAGCTTGACAGCCTAATTTGACAGTGAAATTCATGCCCCCAGTAGCAGCCCTGGAAGTCATTTTGTAAACACCATCAAATCTGTGTGTCCGACACAGAAACGAGAGATTAAATGTTGATGCGATGCAGGAAACATTAAAAACTTCCGCCAAATGCTCAGTGATTGGCCTCTGGCCTGTCTCTACTTTCACATCCCTTCCTCCTTTTCTTTTTTTTTCCCCATCCCTCCAGCTGATGCCAACTAACAAGCAACTCAGAGAGAATCTAGCTTCTGTAAGAGCAGACAGCGTCAGCGCCTAGCCACGCGTGCCCCTTGCTGGCTGCGTGGCAGCTTACTGTAGAAAAGTTTCACCCCAGAACCAAATTAATTGTCGGAGTTAACTTTTATGCTTGAATAGTAAACGCTTTTTTACTCACACGGGGGCCGCCTGGTGGTGGGAAACGACCTCCCAGCCAAGTTTTAGGAGGCGTTTTCCTTGAATTAAAAATGTGGCTGGATAAAGGATCACATTACGTAATCATTGCCTTTTATACAAGAGGTGTTTTTATGTTTTGCTGCTATTGAGAAGCCTGGGAGGAAGTCAAGAGATAACCCTCTGCTCTAGAGAAGCATTGCTGTGATCAAATTTGTGTTGGCAACATGGCGTAGAATGAATGGCGATAATGAGAAGTGGACCGTCGCCTGCGGACTCACATTCAAGTTAATTTTATCATCATGTCAGTTGAGAAAGTGGCCAAGATTGTGGATCTCACAGTGAGGGAGTTTTGTGGTTAGAGGGAGGACAGTCGGGGGGGGGTGAGGGAGGTAAGAGAGTAAAAACATGGTAGGGAAGAAGTGTGAGTGGAGGATAAAAGCTGGCTTCCAAAATAGTGAGTGAGGAAAAAACGGGGGGAGCCCTGTGAGCTCAGCGGGGATGGGGTTCATTAAAGCGCTCTCCTCACCACAGGCTCCGACTGCTAAAGTAATGACGGGTGAATTCAGAAGGGCTGTGGCAGAGGGCAAAACCATCATCCACCAGACACCGGCAAGCCTTCCCCACAGTCGGCGTTGGCCTAGAAACATGGCCGCGTGGCGGGGAGGCTCTCCGCTGTTTAATCTGGACGTGTAATATTTCCAAATCCTATTAGAAAATGACCTCTATTACAGAGGAAATCCTCATACCCCTTTATTTTGGTCTCACCCTCCTCTCAGATGGAAGAAAAGGGAGATTGGTTTAAAATGTTGTTTTTTTTTTTCTCACAGTGGATTTGTGTGTATGTGTGTGTGTCTGTCTAGGTCCAACTTGTGCTGACGTCCATGACCCATGCGAGCCCGACAGGTGCCATCCATCCTCCCAGTGCCAGGCGCTGCCCGAGGGAGGCTACAAATGCGAGTGTCCCATGGGGCGTGAAGGGAAGCACTGCGAGAAAGGTAATGTGACTAAATGTCCTGGTGTAACTCCATTACTTCCCGCCTCAGTTGTTCTCTCCGGTTCTTGTCAAGGAGCACCACTGCTTTGTTCCAGACTCATCTCATCCTCCTCAATTTTTGCCCCCTTTTTTACCTTTATTTTTTTCCGCCCTGTGGCATTTCCATCCAATCAGAATCGACCAGCGAGATCAAACGTAAAAAGAAGTGGGCGGGGGAGCGGGGGGGTTGAGCCTTCAGGCTGGGATGGGATGGGAGGGTTGGTGGGTTGCAGAACCGAGGTAGATGATTGGCCCCGACGGGCCTTTCACCACATCGGCTCGGCTACACTTGTTAGTGGGGAAGCGACAGCGAAGCCTCCCTCCACTCCCTCCCTCCCCGCCTATCCGCCCACAGGTGTTGTGTTCAAACGTGTTTCTTGCTACTTAGCTCCACATGGCAGAACCGGGCCGCGGTTGGGGAAAAGACCAGAGCACGGCTCAGCTGCTTTTGAAGTTCATCATTAGCATTTATGGCGGGGTTGTATTCTCAAGTCTACCCATGATTTTATTTATTTCTTTATTTTTTTAACCCTCCCTTTGCTTTGTAGATGTTGTCATGAATGTTTGCAGAAATTTCTGTCTGCATCTGTGACTGAAAGCCAATACGCTCTGCACATGCACATTGCTAACAAAAGAGAAACACGCAGCCTCGCACCCCCTTTGGGAATTCAGAAAAACCAGATGGGAACAGCCTCCTTCCAAGACCCGAGTCCCAGTTAGCAGGTGATTAAAATAAATTGAGGTGAACCAAAATCAATGCCGTGTGAGCGAGAGCGTCTCCCGTTCCAAAAAGGCTATTTTTTCCACTGGAATCAATGAGATGACTAATCGCATCAGTCCTCCCTGCCCGCGGTGATTAATGGGAGCGTCACTCAGCCAGAGTGTCAGCCCCAGACAGGAGCTCGGAGATAAGGTGGACGTACCCTCTGAGGGCTGCACTGGGAACAGTTGAAAAGGCGGGTATCTTACAGCCCACTCATTGGATGCTTGAAGGTGAATTGGCCGTAATATTAAGTGTGTGAGCGCACTTTCAGTTGAGCTATGGTTTCCATTTCAATCCTGCCGGCGTTCGTCAGTGCATCTCGCTGCTGTAATATTCACAATCAAGGACTTTTCTCAAGGGTGCTCCGATTGCATTGCATGCCCTTTTTTTTTTGCTCAGTGCTTTTACCCTGTGATAGTGTAAATCATTACATATTAGTGATGAAAGCAGGATCACTTGGACTGATGGGGGGGCGGGGACTTTGAATTTCAACATGGTTTACATTTAGCTCCTTAGCTGCAATAAGCTAGGGACCAGCTTTAACACACAAAAACACACCAACTTCAGCACACACACTTCCACAAGCTCTCTCTCTCTCTCTCTCTCTCTCACTCAAACACACACACACACACACACACGTGTCAAGGGTTAATTGCTTTCTGCCATTTTCATGAATTATACCTTTATCTTTATAATCTGACGCTTTGGCAATTCTTGGCATGTGCTTGTAACATTCATTCTTTCATGCCAATAAAGCGTGTTGAATTGAATTGAGAGTGATTCACTCTGCAAGAAATGATGTTGGAGAGCTGATTGATTGGGGGCGGGACCAGGAGCTTTGATTGCAGCAACAAAGTTTTTTTAGAATGTGCATTTTCACTGCTTTGTTCTGGGCTTTTCTGATTATTGTTTTTATGGGTTTTATTGCAAGTACTAATTAGGCAGCGATTGTCAAATATAAACAAAATGACATCAGCGCCTACGGTCAACCTGATTTATTTCTGCTGCATTTTAGCAAAGGAAAACTGTGAAAAGTTCAACTTTTCTTGAATCGTCAAGCTCGACTCCCCGTGCGTCATGTGGTTTTTTTCGTGTGGTGGCTCGATTCAATCCGATGCCTGGACCTCTGGTAACTTATTGATCGTGGCGCTTTGGCTTTGAACACAGGGTGAAATAACAGAGAAAAGAACCCACCACACTGCTCTATAGGAAACTACATCATGAGCAGCTCTGTTACTCTAATAGAGTTCAGTTTACTGCGTGAATCCTTGTTGCGTATGCAAGACTATTTTTCCCCACTCCTCCATGGTGCGTGCCATCATCATTAGCAGTCTTCTGCACAATAGCTAATTAGCTTTCTCATCTCCGTCTGCCTTCCCCATCCTGACTCGGCTCAGCTAATCCCAGCCAATTACGAATTAAAGCTTTCTTGCCGGCTACACAGATATGTGTTTGTGTGTGTTTATGTGTTCGAGAGCGTCTAGTGCTGGTAGTTTTTGCACCATGAATACATACCCCCGGGTGACTCTTGAATGATTTTTAATGTCAAGCCACTTGTTAGAAGGATGGCACGGTGCCTGTCCTAATCACTCCAGACAGCCAGACGTAGACCCATCGCAAAGACACAAATCTGTAAAAAGGCCTGCCAAAACACAATAGCTGCATTATTTCATGGGTCCCGGCTGTGGTGTTAAACTCTACATGTCTGCAAAGGTTCGTTCTTATACTGTGGCGGGCTGTGTAATCAGTCTGACATAAGGGTTTTTGTTTGAATTTCTGTCAAGAGAAAGTGTTAATCCCAAAGGCTATGAAAACACAAATCCATCTCTTTCCATAACGCTGACGGGTCCCTGAAAGATGCACCGACTATCCCCGAATTTCAATTCTGTCAGCGACAAAAAATGGGACCTGAGGATGAATATGGTCTCTTTGTTGTTGTTTTCTCCCAGTGGCTGAGAGGAGCGGGGCTTACATGCCACTATTCAACGGAGACTCTTACCTGGAGCTGAAGGGGCTCCATCTCTACGGGCAAGATCTGCGGTAAGTCCCACGTCTCACATTGTAACACGCACAGTCAAGACTTGCATGCATTACTAAACACGGGATAGTTTTCATAGACAAAGCTTGTTCTGGGCCTAAGGCAGGAGCTGCTTTCTTTAAGCCTGAACTCAAATAGCACGTCACTTAAGCACGTAGAATGTATACAGTAGTATCTCTAACTAATTTCCATACAAACAGAGTAACAGTGCACCAAAATCCAGCAGTCTTCGGGTAGGTGTAGTAGTGTAACTCTGTGTTTGCTTGTGCTGTTCCTGCAGTCAAAAGGTCAGCATGACGGTGATTCTCATGGCCAATGACTCCAACGGTTTGATCTTCTACAACGGCCAAAAATCAGACGGGAAAGGAGACTTCATCTCTCTGTCCCTCAACGATGGCATCCTGGAGTTCCGCTACGACCTGGGGAAGGGACCCGCTACCATCAGGTTAGCATCGCCTCACAGCCTTAAGAGGGTCTAACTCACACAACTCGGGAAAAATAAATACATGAAATAGATTTTAAACAGAAAATAAGAACAAGGCGGGACAAAGATATTTGGGGTGAGATAATCCTATGAAATGACATGCGAACATGCTAATAGATGACTCACCCGGGTGTCTGTTTGTGTGTGTGTGTGTGTGTGTGTGTGTGTGTAATTCAGGAGTAAGGAAGTGATCCAGCTGAACGTGTGGAACACTATCAACCTGGAGCGCTCCAACCGCAAAGGAGAGATCATGGTGAACAAGAAGGACGCTGTCCGAGGGGAGGCGCCGGTAAGAAAGAGCAAGCTAACATGCTCCTGCTGGTGGTTATCTTGGGCCTATTCTCTGCTCAGCCTTGCTTGTGGCGTACAAACTGCATTTGTTTCATCATCTGCGTGCTCTGGTCACGTCATCGCCACAACCTCTGGCTTTGGTGCTCCTTTTTTTTTTTTTTTTGGTGGTTTAACTTGCCACTTCGGGCCCAGTTGAATCAGCAAACTTTCCTCCCTTAGCTAAGGTTTTTTCACGCCGCTTCCCACCATGCGGTTCTGCTGGCTTGATTTGCTGAAAATATGCTGCTATTCCCCCCCAAGCTGTCCTTATTTTGGACATCCTGTAAGTCCACAAAAAAAATTATAATAATCTCTCTGCTTCTCAGCTTGCTGATGCACTGGAGAGATAAAACTTGGTGTTGCATGAATAAAGCGAAAGCATCTTTTACTGCTGGTATACAGTCAATTTTATGAATTCAGCCTTTGAGGTGTTGCCTTGGGAGCCGGAGGCAGATAAAGGAGATACAGTAGCAGCGGCGAGGAGAGCGTAATGAAACTCTTCAGCCCCGTGTCTAGACCAATAAAGCAGGTACATGCTTCCAAATGAAGGAGATCTAATTGTTTGATTAGCCCGTAAGTCATCCAATTATATTAAACAGTGTAATTTGTGATCATGAACGTGCACTCTGTCAACGCATCTTACTATAAGAGGCAACGCTCTCCCCCGTCTGTTCTCCCTCTCACTGCTCTGTCCTACCCCCGGCCTTGTCTGTATGGTAATTGTGTTTTACTCCAGCAACAGAGGCGGCAGAAAATCTTATTAAAAAAAGAGAGCAAGGGAAAAGCGATGTTGGGGGGGGGGACGGACGGGGACGGACTAGCTCAAGAGATGAGCTGAGACTAGTTATGGAGCTCAATGCAGAGATCCCTTCCAACATGGCTCTCAGCTAATGCTGTCCTACTGCTGCTTCAAGGACTATGGGGGGGGGTTAGGGTACGCTTTGCTTAGAGAAGCCTATATCATATCAAAGGTGGTCACACACAGGCACATGTATGGATACATATTGCATGCTGGGAGTGTTCATCATATCAAAGACGGCTCGCTTGCAAATATGATGAGGCACATACTTTCAAAGGCGCATAGGTGCGGGTGGGAGGAATGAGAATCAACTGCACCTCTCCTTCAATGGCAGCACTCTGTAAATGAGGTCGGGTGAAGTGGCGCCACTCACAGTCTCTCATCCGCGACGTTTTTTTTCTTCCTCTTTTTCATCTTTTCTTTATGGCACCATCTGCTTCGTGCACGGCCTTCCTAGACTCGCTGTCTTATTTGTAGTCACTGTTAGAGCGTAAACTCACACTTTTTATTTGCGGTACGTAGCGCCAAGGTGCCTGTGCAATGTGTCTTCACATGTCTTGCTTAATCACACTTGTCTGTGCTACACTGCAGCTATGTGTAATGCTCTCACAGATGTGGCCTGTGTGTGTGCGCATGAGAGAGTGTGTGTGTGTGTGTTTTGTGGGCCTTTGCACTTGCTCGCTCTACTGTAGCTCTCTGCATGCCTCTTTGTGCACAGATACCTACTAGTCTTCCCCTAATAACTCTCTTCCTCCCTATTTTCTTTCCTTCTCTATGATGTGCTGTCTGGAAATAAGAAATCACGCAAGGTAATGAGACAAGTCCCAGTCACACCTTAGCCCATGTTTCATTTGAGTCCCTCACTGTGTCCTCTCACCCCCATCTCTCCATGCAACAACAGCCCAGGGAAAAAAAAAGAAGGTACTTCTGCAGAGCTGCAGGCAGCTTTAAAGGTGCCAGTTCTGTTAGAAAAACTTTGCCATTTCATAAAGCCCACACACGCACACACAAACAGCGCCGAAGTAGAGATGCTCTTAAAGAACGCGGTTTGGCTTTCACCTCGGTCCATCTGCTGTGGGGGTGGCAGGGGTTGAGAAGGTGGGAGGGAAGAAGGGAAAGAAGACTGCCATCTCCGTGACGGCCATTGTTTTTAGAAACAAAGAACCGTCTTCATTAGTTTGGCGTGGGCGGGGATATCACGCCAGTGCCACGTGGCCGTCCAACAAAGTGAGAGGAAAAAAAGACGGTGAAGGCAAGCGAAGGGGAGAAAGATACACCGTGGGAGACGGCGAGGTGCCAAGCCAAGCCGAGCTGTTCTTTTGCCGTCTGCTCTCACTTCTTCTGCGAACAGGAACAGTCCCTCCATAATTTCATGAAGTCGCTCACTCTTTCACTCTTTCACTCACTCACTCACTCACTCACTCGCCCATAACAACACAAGCACCACTCACTGAACATCACCCGTGCGACAGTCCCTCCATGGAACCAGCTGTCCTCGTTCACCAGGTGCAGTCTATTACCTGTGTGAGGCGAAGCAGAACATTTCATTGCATGTTATTTCACATTAAAGTCCTAAAAAAGTAACTTTACGTAGGTAGCGTGTGCTCAAATTCTAGCACATTACAAAGGTGTAACATCTCAAACAAGCTCACCAGGGGACCGTGTTCCGTATGCATCTGTAACGTTTACCTGCACAGCAGTGAGGCCTGCACGGAGAGCCTGGGGCGGCCGACTCTGCCCCGCAATCAACTACAACTTTTTTCGGCTGAGCCCGAAAGGCGCCAGCCACGTCCGCTGGGTCCATGCGGCTTTGGCCAAGGTCCCACGCCATGTCTCTGTTGGAAGCGGCTCAAGGTGCAGTGACACAGCCCCGGGCTTCAGCCAAGCACCGCTGCCTCCTGCACTCCAAATCCCATCCTAAATAACAGCCGAGCCCGGTGCCAGCCTGCCTTCACGAAGCCTGTTTATTTGGCCCCTTCCATCATTTTTCCAGCAATTAACTCCACTTTAGCCCTCTGGCAATTACTGCTCTACATAAAATAAAGATCATTAATTCCTTCCTTTTGAAGTGGGCCGCCTCTTCCTTTGCGAAAATGGGAGAAGCGGCACCTTGCTAATGCAAAGCAATTGTCCCAAAGGTTCGGTGGACGGAATTGAATTTCATAGCCGTCTGCAGCGCAAATGAATTGCAATTAATGTGTCTCCACACTCAAGCGTTTGAAAGGTCGGTGCTTATGATCAGCCATTCATTAGAGATGTCTGTTAAGAAGCGTCCATATCTCAAGTCCAGCCCGCTGCTGATTTCCCTTTGTAGTCTCGTTTTATGTCTCTCAGATCGAGGATAATTGACCACTCTCTCTGAGAGACATTGAAATCAATTACGTTGTAATGTATCAAGTGTATTGACGTGGAAGGAAGGCGAGGAAGTGCATTTCAGTGTCTGCCGGCTACAATCTGGATAACTCCTCGTTTTTTTTTTTTGGGACGATCTATATGACTGCGACATGTCTGCAAATGTGTTTTATGAATCTCACTCTTTATGTCTCGACTAAAGGGATACAACTTATTTCACGCTCCCCGGACACAAACACATTGCTCCACCGACTAAAGTAAAACTCTAAACCATTACGTCCTGAATAGAAGAAACCCTGAGAGGAATCGGAGACGGGGTACAGAAGAGATTCAATTGGACGTTTCTAAAGATATATGTGGGGCTTATATCTCCCCCCCCCCTGAGTTTGCACAGCACTACCTCACCATACCTCTTTGTGTCCTGTCTCATCAGAACCTGCACGTAGATCTTAACCTGAAAGAGTCTCTTTTTGTTGGCGGAGCTCCCGATTACAGCCGACTAGCACGAGTGGCTGCACTCACGGATGGCTTCAAGGGAACAATCCAAGAGGTAAATGTTGACACGTCTCTATTTCTTGAAGGAGAATTGTGTCATTCGCTGTGCTTGTGGATTCTATGTGTTATTTTAATGACTCTGGGCCCTTGTGCCCTCAGTAGCGGCTATTAGCTGTCCAGCTGTCATTAAGTACAGTACTACAGACCCCCATTTAGTCATTTTCCATTAAAAGCTCACACTGTGACGGGCAGTGGCTCTGCTCATTTGGATTAGCATGCACTAATAATAGAATGCACATTTTGAAGTCCCCCCACTTTCACTATTCTCAGATCTTTCCCTGACAGCCTTCCAATTTTTTATTTATTTTTTTTCTCCACTTTTCAGTAAAAAGCTCTAAAAATCTCTGAGTGCCAAAAATAACCCAGCAGAACAAAGGCAGGATGTTACTGTTTGTGCAAACTTGTCATTAGTTCTCCTCTGCAAACTTTCCCTTGACAGTTTCGAGCAAATCAAAAGCTAAATGTGGCATTTTGTCTTCCTCGGCCTGTAGGGAATAGTTAATTATGAGGGAAGACGGTATGTATTCTCAGTTTAGCGTGCGTGTTGTATCAACACCTGATTTCTGAGACACTTTACCTGTGTGGAAACAGGTCATGTGTCCAACACAATCAACAACATCTGTGTATAAAGTATGCCTGGTGATAATTAGGTTTGATGATGATTCAGTGGAAAACACAATGCACCATATCTTGATTCTTTCCGTTGGACAACAACCAGCAGAGGTAAGAAATGATCATCTTCAAGTGTGAGAAAAAATGAATCTGATAAATTTGACAACAAAGGCAATGAAAGAGAGCTTAGAGATTAAAAAAAGCAAGACAAGAATAATGAAGGCAACCCTCCAAAGAAAGGTCAAAAACAATTAATATCAAGAGTATTGCATAAACACAGGTCTGTGATTTATGAGATTATACTGATTACACCATAATGTAAGCTTTACTGGAGTATGTAGTTACTTTATATTATATACAGTATGTCATGTATTAAAGGCCCTGAAAACGTATATTCTCAACCAAGTTCTTACAATAGATGAGGAAGCAGAGGCCACACCGACATGAACCTGCAAGTTTCAGCTCAAGTTTGAACCGTTTTTGAGTATTTGGCGTCTTATAAATCTGCATTTCTATTTTTGTCCCTGCTTTTGTCACAAATTTGAGCTGGGCAGGGCTCATATGGAAAAAGTGATTTGAATCAAAATGTGAGAATTGCTCTTATTGAGAAGCCACTGTCAATCCAGTCTGATCAAACCACACCCACACAGTCCTGGTAAAACCCGAGGATGCTTTTATTCAACCTTTAACTTTAATTGTTGCTATATTTATTTGATAGAACAAGGTTCTCTGGGTGTTTAAAGTGGTACTTCATTAAATTAGTTTTCTGCTTTCTTAAAGTTGAGGCACTTCCAAGAGACAAATTAAAACAATATCAAAAATGCCGAGATATTCCGGCCTTTAGTCCTTCGTATGTTTTAGGGGGCTTTCACACCTAACCTGTTTGGCTATTTATGCAAGTCAACACGCACGTCAACGCGGATATTTTCCCTATTATTGGGTCAAAAGCTGTTAAAACTGATGTGCTTGTATTGAAATCTGTGTACTTTGTCAGTGCGTTGAGTCCGTTAAAAGGTGTGTGATAGCGATCCCACGGTAATACACCCTGAATCATACTGAACAATAATCCTCATGCGTGTGTCCGAAGTGGCTTTCGTACAGTCCTGTCTCCACCCGTTAGCCATTATTCATCATAACATACGGATCATTTGCAGTCTTAGAGCAGGCCTTGGCTGAATGCAGGTACACAGTCCATGTGGAGAGCAAAGGAGGCGGAACAGATTGGCCAAAATGCAATCTTGGAACCCGTCGGCTATCGTCTGGCGATGATTTAGCTTTTTATGGGTTTTAAAATGAAATCGTAAACTGGCTACTGAAACAATTCGGTCGAACACGTCGCGGTCGAAACTCCAGCTCCAGTCTCGCATCTCAAGTTGCTAAGCGGACTGTAAACAACGAGCAGCTCACGGAAAGGGCAGTCTTGGCCCAGATATCTGCTGGCTTCACCGAAGCCCCAGAAATGTGGCCCCTTGACCCCCAGAGGCTTATCCATCGTCGGATGGGTTCTGAGATCGCAATCACCAAAACTGTTCAATCAACATGTGAATAACTTCATGTTTAATCCTCCTGGTTTGTTTGTAAAAGGTCAGTGTGAACAGGAGCCAAAATGTACCAAAGAAAGCACCCTTTAAGACAGGGGTGTCCAAACGTTTTTCAAAGAGGGCCAGATTTGATAATGTGAAAGTGCCCAAGGGCCAACAGTCCCTGCTGACATTATTTTAAACAATACAAGTAGCCTATACATACATTGTTATTTAATGATTTTATTTTCAATGACAGCAAATAGCAATGTAACCAAATGTAAGCATTCATGTGTGAACACATCTCAACAACTATTCTGCCTTTCTTTCACATCTTGAAAGTCAGATAACACAAAGAACAAGCCATCTAAAAGCTAATTACATAGAAACCGATCAATGTTCTCACCTCAAGACAATCTTAAATAAGACTTAGTGAGGGTAATGAAAAGTTGTCTCGCATTTAAGTTCAACACACATGAAACAGGCTGACGAAAAACATCAAGTTGTCTCTTAGTATGTGATGATGGCTCTTCAGTGTTACGAGCCCGGCAAACATTAGCAAACTCGGTCTTCTTCTCGGGGCAATTATGTTTTCTGCTATTTTCATAACACAGTCTTTGATAAACTCACCTTCCGTAAAAGCTTTGTCATGTTTAGCAGTTAGCATGGCCACTTGGTAGCTTACTTTGATGATGTTTTCATGTGAAAAGGACCGCTGCTGTGAGGCCAAGTTATCTTGGAGTTGCTTCACTTTTCTAGCTCGGTCGCTCTGATAGCTTGTTGTAGCATTAGCATGTTTGGTGTCGTAGTGTCTCTTTACATTATATTCCTTAAACAAGGCAACAGCCTCATGACTAATTAGGCAGACACAGTTGTTTCGGTTTTCGGTGAAAAAAATATTGCGATCTCCACCTCTCCTGGAAGCGGCGGCCCTCATTATCGACTTTCCTTTTTTTACTTGCCGTAACATGACAGGTCAAGGGTCAGAGCCAATTTCAAACAGTCAGACAGTTACAGAGTGGTGCTGCCACCATGAGGTAAAAAGAGGAATTGCATGTTGAATTTGTATGAGTTATTCATTCCGTTTTGACTGTGCTGGCGGGCCATAAACAATGCATTTTAAGACAGAAGGTGCGGGCCATATACAATCTGACCTCGGGCCGTGATTGGCCCGCGGGCCGGACTTTGGACATGCCTGCTTTAAGAGGTTTGGATACGACATGTCCTAAGCTCCCAATTTCATTTTTTTTTGTTAGACCCTTGCTGCCTAATAAATGCCCCGTCTTACAAACTCCTCAGTGCCTCAAGTTTGTAACACAGGCCTTGTTGTATGTATGTGTAGCCTCATTATCAGCTGACCTTTAACCCAAAGTATGTGGAAAGTCATCGGCATGCCCCTTTAACCCTGCGTTTCCTGCATCCCAGATCATTCTGATGGGTACCCCCATCCTCAGAGAGGAGCACGCCCTGCGCTCCAGCAACATAGCCATGTTCCAGGACCACCCGTGTTCCCAGGAGCCCTGCCACAACGGAGGCCTCTGCAAACCCATGCTGGACACCTACGAGTGCCTTTGCCTCAATGGTTTCAGAGGGGAGCGCTGTCAGAACAGTGAGTATCTCAGGTCGTTCTTGGTATCGTCGATCCCTACAGCCATATTACATTTATCTTTCTCCTTCTTCAAGTCAAAGAGCCACAGACGATCTTGATGCTAAAGCACAGTTTGTTATTGCAATGAATACTTATAACTGTTTCCTCCGCCATCCTTTTTTGGTCTTACTCCAGAGGAAACATGTAACACTGCTTGCTATTGGCTTGCCTCAATGGAAGGTGAACTACCGGTACTAATTCTTGTTTTATCATTTGTTTTCCATTGTGTCTTGACAAGGCAATAGTGATAGTCTTGATAAGAGACCTTTGATGTCTCTTTCAGTTTGTGTTCTTATGTATCGATTTCAAACTGAGGCGGTGGTTGTGAAAATGATGAAGGGCATCAATTGAATATTCATGAAATGCTCTTTTTCAGGAGTTGCACATCCCTTTCATCATCTTCCCGTCACCCTGCCAGACATATACCCACTCAGCCTAATCTTTCTTACATACTCAGTCGCTGCCTTTGCCATTAACCTTGTGCGTGTGGCCGGCTGTCCCTTTCACGTTAATTAAAACTACAAAACGCACCATCACCCCCCCTTACGACCACCTCCCCAGCCTATCCCATTTGCTCACACTCTGTCTAATTGATTGGTGTGATATCCTCTGAACAAATCCTCTTACCCCCCCCCCTAACCCCCACCCTGCCCTCTCCTTCACAGCCGTCTACGAGAAGGCCGCCGGAGAGACCGAGGCCATTGCCTTTGACGGGCGGACGTTCATCGAGTACCACAACGCTGTTACGAAGAGGTAAGGGAGAGGACAAGGGGAACGTGCTCGTTTATTCAGCGTCATCCAGCACCCCCATCGCAATAGCTATTAGCCAAATAACCACTCTGTCTATCCATCTCCTCCCTTGGTAAGGCGTGATGACAGTGTTGATGATATCATCAGTGCTAAGGCTTCAGGGTGAAGTAGGCGCTTGGCTAATAGCTCATTCCCCCCACTCCCACCCACCCACCCCGTCCGTGACAGTCCTGCTTCCTGCTTTTGACAGGATTTGGCTAATTAGCGAGACGGTTAACAATCACAGTGTTGCCCTGAGCACGCTCAGTTCGCTCTGCGGTCTCCTGCTCGCTCCCGGACAATCAGCATGATTCAACTTTTTACTGTATTTTAAATATGTGTGTGACTGTTTTCTGTAAACCCAATACGCCCTGTAAAGTGAGTGTTAAATGTTTTTTTAGGACCAGGTGCAAACCCCCCCTCCAAAAAAAAACATTAAATGAAACAACAACAAAAAAAAAAGTCCTCTCCCTTTAGGCAGCTGATGAGACATTTTTACTCTTCCATCCATCTACAAGGTTGGGCAAGAGTGCGCCTCCAGGTTGGCATAAACAAAAAATGTTGATGTGACGAACCTGAAAAAGACATCAAGCATACGGCTCTATATCTTCGTCTCACAGCGCTTCACACAAACGCTCAGGTGTGAAGAGCAGGCCACAGCCTGCAGATCATCACACCCCCGATGGGGACGCACAACTCACGCCCACTCAGAAACAGCTGGCTGGACATTATGTGTGTGTGTGTGTGTGTGTGTGTGTGTGTCGCTATGTGTATCTTTGCTGTTTGTCCGTGATCTCAGCGTTCCAGTTGTTTGACCTTTTTGTCCTGTCCTTCAGTCTGACCTCCCTTGTTGTTGTCCACACACGTGTTGTCTCATATGAATGTCCTTCGCTGTCTTTCCTTTTCACTCAAGCCAACTGACCAATGAGATCCCAGAGTAAGTAGACTTTATGACTGGGTATTTGCCCAGCTTCCAATCCAGCCCAACTAACAACAACCCCAGTAAAACAAAATGTTTGATAGTTAACCCAAGTAAAAAGATTAAAGTACATTCAGTTTCTAGTCATAATTTCCACACAGAAAATCATCTTTACCGTTTAAGTCAGATTTTATATTCAAGCTCCATATCCATGATATAATTTGACAGATTCCATTATCCTAAACGCGTTTTGCAGTGTCATTAGATCCCTGCTTTTTCTTTTCCAATGCAAAGGGAAGCATGAATGTGTGCATGATAAGCATTATGCTCAACCCCTCAGAGAAAATAAATTGCTGTACGAAGAATGTGCATTTGATGCATGGTTGTAACTCTTTAAATAAGCAAAATGAATTGCCATGCACTTTACGCTGAATCTGTTAAGTGGGGAATCAACGAGACCTCTTGAAAACTGCAAGAGGAGGATACACTAAATACCCTGGTGCCTGTAGACTTTATGCTTGGGAAAGCCCTCAGTCATGACTCAGTTATTAAGGGTTTTTCTTCCAGCTCATTAGCTCGGTAAGTAACCTCCTTTAAAAAATAAATTAAAAAAATCCCAGAAATCGACAAAGCTGAATTCAGGTCAAATTAAGCTGACTGGAATCGGCCCAGTGTTCCAATCCGTGCCAGGGCTTCTGTCATTTTGTTTTTTGCCAGATCTCCAACTGTAAATTGTGAATAATTACTGAGTCCTACAGAGAGGCGGTGACATGTTAATCACAGATTTGTCTCCCTTTTGTAGATTAGACCTCCGATTGAGAGCTCTGCGCAGTGTGTAGCCAGGGGCATCAATCTCACTTAGCGGGAGGGGACAGTGGTCCTTGGAGAGCCAGACTGTCAAAAGTTTAATGGATGTCACATTTAGTAAGAGCCACAATGGCGCAGCACTCTGAAGGCGTGCCGATCAATTCAGCGTGATTTGATTTTGTAAAGGGAATGAAAAAACATTTCTCGAGAGCGCCATTAAGAGGCGAGGTGAGGCCAAAATGTCAAACGCTCACCTTGGGTTAATGTCGCTGTTACTATTTAGGGCACCGTTTGATCACACCTCCCCTCACCTCTCTGCCCATATCTGAAAGCTCGGGTCGATTTGCTCAAACCCCATTATTTCAGTGACAAATCCGATCTGGTCACTACTCTCAACTGATATGGCGCTTGACCACATTTTTTGACAATTGCCCAATTTTTTTCTCATCCACGGCATCCATCTCACGGCACCGTGGCGGGCTGCGCCATAAATATAGAGGAGGACGTTGACTTAAAGTAGTCTTTTACCTGCGTGGACACTGACCATGAGTGTACTCAATCTTGATGCTTACATTAAACAAAATAAATGCTTTATCCCAGTGCATTTTGGTGCATTAGTCTTCCATCTTGATCCGACTAGTTCCCTTGAGAACCTCCTTGTGGTGTGATCAGGGCTAGGCTACACACTTCCTGTGATCACACAACAGCTGTTATCGACTGTTGACAAGGTCGATATTGTGGTACAGCAGACAAGTTATGCTTTTTGCAGCTCCAGGTCCAAACCCAGACCACCTGTGAGTCTCCCAGTAGGGCTCACAACGTCCTTCCTTCCCTCCTTCCTTCCTTCTTTCCTCCTGGCCTCGTGCGCTTACACTGCATGCCGTTGACTTTCTCCCCCCCTGCTCCCTTTAAGTCCCGAGTCTCTGGAGAACCCATCTGACCAGAGGTGAGTCTCTCAAAAGCTTTTAGACTTTGGTACCGTCCACTCGCCTCCTCATCCTCCCCTCCTCTCCAGACAACCCCTCCCTGACCTCTCACAGGGCTAAACCCTCGTCCGCAGAGACAACACATTGTTTCCATTATTGAGATAGAGTTACCAATACGAGTCACAAAGAGCCTCTGCTTCAATTAATTCTGAGGTTCGGAGCTGTGATAATGGCACAAAACCAGCCAGAGCTGCTCTTTGCAGCAGCCGTCCTCCCTGATGGCATTTTTTATTATTCTAACTGCTACTGCCACCTGGAGTTGAATCAGAGGACAGCACTCAAGTTTGAATACATGTAAAAAGTAGATAAGAAATAAATAATAATAAAAATTCAGTGATGATACGCCAGCGATCTGTGAAGTCAGTTGGATATGAGAGTCAGAATGCTGTGCGCCGGCGTTATTTTATTCATTTTATATTCAGCACTTTTAATAACCATGACCTTATCGCTGACAAGCCGCTCCAATGGAGATTCATTGGGCCCTGTAAGCTCTGTGAGGGTTTGCCAGGAGAGGGTTCACTGAGCTGTATTTGCGTGTCTTTCTTTTCTCTCTCTGGAGGAAAAAAAAGATTCTCTTAAATCATTTTTTTTCCTTCATGTTTACCTCAGCGGATTTAGTTTATCAAGGGGGTCAAAGTCTCCAAACTGAGCATGTTTTTTAAATTTCACTCTTTCTGATTCTTTCCCCGCGTCTGCTGAGGTGAACCAGCTGTATTGTTGGCCTCACCTCGGGCCAGCAGTTGATACACTCCAAATCATCCCATTGCGTGTAAACCCGGCATTCTTTTTATTCTTGCTCATTAATGAAAAGAAAACACTCAGAGAAAATGATTGAATACTTCTTACAGCATAAGGAGAAGTTGCCATACTCAGTTTCTCTTTACCCCCTCCCATTTCCTGTCCTGTTTGTACTCCCATGAGCCTCTTTGCTTGCTATGCTGACTCCTTTGTCTTGTTGTCTGTCTTGTCTAATCTTTGTCTCCAGCTCTGTGCTGCTGTTTGTTTTTTAAACCCACGTGTCATTGGTTCTTTGTCGTACGTGTCCTCACCTTGTCTTTGTCTTTGTGTCTAAATACCCTTTGAAGAAGGTGGTAGTAGATCCATTTGGCAGATGTGCAGACAATTGCACAGGTGCTGATTGATGACATTGCACACACAGTCGTACACAGACACACACACACAGACATGCAAACTGAGGGGATGACTCTCTGGACGTCTACCATGTCGCTGCTGGACTCACACAGACCACAGGGGTTTTGTAAGTGTGTTTGTATGCAGGAGTGGATGTTGTTTGTGTGTGTGGGCACACATACAGTAGAGGCACGTTCGAGGTGACAGTGACGCACAGTGCGTCTCGGGGATAGGTGGACGTCACCCAAGTCTCTGCATCCACATCACCACCCGCAGGTGTAGCAGTCAAGACACTGGTGATCAAACAGCTGCCAAAACAACACATACACACACACACACACACACAGATACAGAGCAACACAGGAAGCACTGAGTAGCAGTGCAGTACAGGCTCAGTAGGATGTTGGGATGTAATAGCAAAACAGCCCCCTGCTACTCTTAAACTCAGTCTGCATCCTTAAACATCCCTGTGGCTCTGTTAGTGTGAGGCTGTGGAGGCCGAGCTACAAAGCTTCCTGGCTACATGTGCTGGCACACAGAATCCCTTGTCGTTGAATCATAGCTAATGCACCCTCCAGACAACAGACGCAGCCACACATGACAAGAGCACCGACCGAGCCGTGTCAGCCACGCCAAAGATCAGACCTCTTTTTGATGAGTTGGACCAAAAAGCTGATTGATGCATTTCCTCTTCTCCTAGTGAGAAGGCTCTGCTGGTGAACAAGTTTGAGCTGAGCATCCGGACGGAGGCGACCCAGGGCCTGGTGCTGTGGAGCGGGAAGGGCGTGGAGCGCTCCGACTACATTGCCCTGGCCATCGTGGACGGACACGTCCAGATGACATACGACCTGGGCTCCAAGCCCGTGGTGCTGCGCTCCTCAGTGCGCATCGACACTAACCGCTGGATACGCATCAAGGCCAGCAGGTAAGATGGGAGATGGCGGGTAGCTGGGGATCAGTGAGTGAAAGCCGGAACAGTTAGACCGGGATTAGACTTAATCCATATTGTATTTGGGTTTGCTGCAAACTGTGTGATCTCTTGCATGAATTGTCTGCTTCTCAGTGATCCCCTGCACCGAGATGACTCTGATTAGTTTCAGATTAAGGTTATTTTCATGCCCGGTCATGCATGAGTATGACGCATCAAGCATCGAATTGCTTAGACACATCAATGAACGTTCAAAAAGGAATTACACACGGCAACATCCCAACACTTTTTAGCACATAATAACAAATGTGTCCAGGAAATAACTCTGTTCACAACAGTACGTAGAGTAACACATACACTGTACACACACACAGTATACATACATTGATCCCATTTGATGAGTTATACATGAAGTAATATATGCACTTTGCACAGAATCAGCTGCAATAGTAATACCCTTATCCCGTCAGTTGACACTGTGCTTTGGTAGAGAAGTTTCCCATCTGAATCACAATGAATCAAATGACTATCAGCTGATGATAATTCAGTCTTGATGACATGTGTTATACCCATAGCATGTGTCTACAGTGTATACATAAACAACCCTGAGATTGGACACACTGACACATGTTTTAATTTGGATAATCATTTCAGACACGCAATACTTTTTACCATGCAGTGATGTCACATTAATAGATTCCTTCATTAGAAACGGATTAACTGCTTGAGCTTTGAGAATGACCCACGTAACACCTTCCACGCGACCTCCGCTTTATCGCCGCTGAACATTTGCTGCCAGCACGACTGTGACTGGAAGTACTAGGGGACGATTACATCGGCCTCATCGTGCAAGGCAAGATTAATCGATCCTGAAGAAGCACGCTGCGTCCGTTCCGAACCTCACGATCCCAGGTTTATGGGGAGACCACATGAGCTGCTGGAAGATGACAAAGTTTGGATGTTGATGAGGGTGTACAACTCGCAGCACGTTGGCACACAGCTCACATAGATGTCTGTGTTCACGACTTGCCTTTTTTAATGACGCTCTCTCTCTCTCTCTCTGTCGGGAACCCACTTTAATAGGTGCAAATGACCCCCCCCCCCTGGTCACAATTCACACAAGTGTGCTAATGCGCAGTGCAGAGCCACCTAAAGCGAATGGCGCTCTAACGGCATCTGTTAGCCGGTAGACAGGCGCATTTAGAGCGCTGCTTGGCAGAGGCGGTTATGTGAGTGCTTAGTGTGCTGGCAGTGGCGCGATGGAGTCTCGATGCTTCAGATTAAAAGAAACAAGCAATTTACAGCCATTGACTATGACATGCATGCGTCAGGCCGACTTCTAAACTCTCTTTTTCTTTCTCCTCCTCAGAGCACTTAGAGACGGCTCTCTACAGGTCGGCAATGAGGCAGCGGTAACAGGGTCATCGCCTTTGGCAGCAACACAGCTGGACACGGACGGAGCACTGTGGTTGGGTAGGTGCCCGCATATCTAAAGAAAAATAATACAAATTTGAAAATGTATCTTCGAATGCCATATACAGTACATCTTCCATCCTAGCCACTGGTAGAAGGCTGGCAAATGAATGAGCACATGAACTCATTGGCATTACAGAGGAAGAGTCTCTGGCAGGGAAAAAAGATTGCGGTTTGGGCAAAAAATGTGCTCCTAGCCTATTCAGGTATTGAGTTGAGAAATGAAAGGCTATCTGACTAATTCAAAAGTTGTCTGCGCCTCTGAATTGAAAATGACCAAAGTCGGCCCGTTATCTACCTCTTCAATTTGGTCCGAACTCGGCTCAGAGAAATGGTTTTTCAAAGAACACACTGCACGGCGAGATTGAACATTCTGAGGAAAATAACGTTGAAGGCGAAATAATGTCAGACTTTTCTGTAAAATGTACAGCACAGGGGCGGCGTAGAGGCAGGTTTGAGAGGAGAAGCAGCCTGAGTGACATTTAAAGAGAAACGCTGCATGTAGAGGTGCACTACAAACACACACACACACACACGGTGGAGGCAGCACAGTGGAACAGGTGCTGAGCGAGCCCCGCAGCAAGAATACATAATCCTCACACAAGCCCTCCCGTCGAGAGCCCCGCTCCTCTTTAAATCCCCTTTTCACTGTTCATCATTAATTCATCTGTAACTTGCATGAAATTAGCCCTGTCGATCCCCGATTCTGAGGCACGCAATCCGATTAAAGGGAGCAGGGACAGGGGATGTAAAAGGCTCGACGGGGATGTGAACTCTCAGCTTCACAGATTCAAAAAAAAGGAGAAAACAGGGAAGAGAAGGAGAGATGGAGAATGTGGGGGAGGCAGGGGAATGGAGTTGGACTGACATGAAGCGAAGAGAGAAAAAGAGGATGCAGGAGGTTTCTGAGAGTGTAGATAACAGAGAGGGAGAGAGAGAGAGAGAGAGAGAGAGAGAGAAGGGATGGCAGCCAGGTAAAATATCAAACACTCGGGTCACTAGCCACTAGCCTCTCTCCCAGTAAGAACAGATATCATGAAATCCTGAATAAAGATGTATTTCATGCTGATTTATTGAGAAAGACACTAATGACTACTTTGGGTGTGCTGGCTCAAACGAGTAGCACAAAACACGATCAAACGGGAAAAAGGAGGCAGCCACACACCCGGCCATTAGGTCATCAAGCCTCCACAAAAGGACGTTAGGAGACTTTTTTTTCTTTCTTTTTTTTTAAAGAGCTTTGGATGATTTGAAATAGAAGTAAAGTTGAGGGGAAGTTAAAGTGAAATGGAAAGTACAAGGGGCTGAAACATTTGCTTTGAAGTACAAATCCATGATATTTTCATATTTTGACATTTCCATTTTTAAACTTTCTATGACTGATAGATAAACCCTTACGTGAGTTCAGTTATATCCAGTTCACAAGTGCTTTAAAGGGTAATTTTGACAAATAGTGAAAGTTTTTTTAAAATCTCTAATCACTTATCTCTTGTGGTATCTAGCCACTACCATGGAGGGGATTTGGTGTGTGGTGCTAACACAGCACTGAAACATTTGACTTGAATCAAATTGAACAGCAACACTTCTTTTCAGAAACGGTCTTCTTCAATATGCTGTCAACTGTTTTTTTCTTTGACGGCAAGTAGTTGCAAGTTGGGTGATTTGTCCCTTTAACATTATTTTTTTTGGACTTGCAGCCAGTCACACACAGATTTCATGTCCTTGGTTTGTTTGGAACAAATAGAGGAAGAAGTGGGTAGTTAGCAGTGGTATCCAACAAGGCTGAACAGCCAAAGAAAAGTGCAGCGCTTGTAAGAACTCTAACTTTAGGAATGTCACTGACAGTTGATATCGGGGTGGTTCACAGCGCAGCAGCGAGCGATTAGCACTAAAGGTGGGAACAAATAATAAATAATGAGGGCGTTGGGTACACATCATTTTACACTCTGTAATCGCCTTTCATTCGTTGCACATTTCTGAACACTTTAAGCAGCGTGTCAAATTAAAAGAGCCTTCTCTCTCTCTCTCGTCTGTCTTAACACACTCTGGCTGGTATGCAGGCTCTCTCTGCCTTTGATCATGGCGGTTTGACAAATAAAGCGTCAACCTGTCCTGTACATCAGCTGGCGTCACCGTGCACATTTAAAAAAAAAAATAAAATACAAAGCCTGAAAAGTAAACTGCTTAAGTACCAGAAATACATTGTTCTACCAAAAATATTTCCAGTACGGCCTTTTGATGACATTCACACGGTTTGTTATGAAATCCAAATCTTTATCCTGCTGTGTGATCTTTAAAGGGGCACTGCGTGCATTTTCACAGGGAGGTGAGTTCACTAGTCATGTAACTTCATCAGGGGATATCTCGGCTTGGGCTTCGATTAATGAACATCTGTAACAGAAAGCCTGCGTTACAAACTGAGTTGGAGGTCAGTGGAGGCCTGATCAAACACTACTATTGGTGTACAAAATGCACTGAAACAGTTGCTACTTTAGAGTGAAGTGTCTCAGTTGTTTCCCTGCTATGAGTGGAGGAGTGTTGAGGTACAGCTGCATTAACCTCCGTCTCCGTCTCCCCTCAGGTGGTCTGGAGGAGCTGGCGGTGACCCGTCGGTTGCCCAAGGCCTACAGCACCAGCTTTGTTGGCTGCATCAAGGACGTGGTGGTGGACGGCGTGGAGCTCCACCTGGTGGAAGACGCCTTAAACAGCCCCAAAATATTACACTGCTCCGCCGCCAAATAAACCAGAAGAGACAGAATACTGAGAGAAATGGAAAAGAAACAAACCCTCCCGCTCGCTCCCTCCATAGCGCCCATGTTTCCTGCTGTAATTATTTTCTATTTTTGTATACTTTTCATCGCTTTTCATATGGAAAGAAAATGAATATGTTTGTTTTGATTTTTGTTCGATATATTTTGTTATTTTCTTTTTTTTTCTGCACCTCCATAAACAGAACACACTTTCTTTATTCTTAACTGCCCCGGCCCTTCATCTTTCTCAAAAACGCATGCATCTCTATGAAAAAGAGATATTTTATTCTTGTCAGTTTTGTTGTTTTAAAACTTCAAAAAAAAAGAAAAGAAAAGAAGAAGAGTCGCCTGCTCCTTTTCCTCGCTCATTACTTGAACACTGGTGGACCTCGCCGAAGATCTCTGGTTACTGCCTTGTCTTGGTGCCATATATATATATATATATATATATATATATATATATATATATATATACATATATCGTCCACATTCCCCAAGCACGGCCTATACATCCACGAGTACATAGACACATCCATTGCCCCTGTGGGAGCTGCACGCAGTGCGCTGTGGCCGGTGTGTGCAGCTCTTTGATGCTGCAGCCAGCTGGCATCTCCAGTCAAGAAACTCTACAATCAGCCCCGCTAGCCCGCTGTATTTTCCTAATGGGACTTTTCAGATATCAGTCAAGCTGCTACAGTGAGAAAGTACACAGTCCAAACCACTCCATCATCCCCCATCTCACAGCGCCAAACAAAAAAGAAAAGAAAAGAAAAAACTCTCCACTCAATCTGAATCCCATCAGAGCCTTTAGTTTTGAAATATGACTCACTTACACTGCAACCCGACATGATGGAGAGAGCGCTACATTCCACAACGACTCGCATTATCATCAGTCATAAGTCAAGACATGAATAAATGTTATAAATATAGAGTATATAAATATTACCTGAGACTGTGAATATGTATGATGGGTTCTCCTCAGAGAGTTGTGCTTCTCATGTACTGTTGTGCGTTCTGTTTTACAAGCCGCAGATGTAACTAATGATGACCACTATAAATGCATGCACTTCTGCAGTGTTGGTTTGAATCTGGTTTGTTTTATTTACATTTTGTTGCAAAAAAAAAACAAAAAAAACAACTTTCTAATTTGGAAAAGTGTCACTGTTTTGGGGGTTTCTTTGGTTTCTTTGCAATGAATACAAAAATATTACTTTTTTTTCCTCTTATTTCCACTGATGTCATTTCAGAAACTACAGAGCTCAGAATAATGTTTTGCATTCCTTCATTCTTTGTGTCATTTTTAGTCTTTTCGTTTCTTTTTTTTCTTGGGAGCAGTTAGTTTTGCAGGACTTCTGCAGACTAGTGCATAGGGGGAAGAGTTGTTACCATATCTGACCTTGAGGAGGTGCTGAAAGCAAGGACTGAAGAAAAAGGACAGACAGAAAGGAGGCGAGGAGAGATACTGCCCTTGGGGATGTCCTGTCTAACAACAATCAGTCGTCAACACAAACAAGAAAAGCTTCAAAAAAAACTCTGCCTGAGACTTCATTTCTTTTCCTATTTGACCTAGGAGCATTCCTGGAGGAGTCTTTTTTTCCCCCGGCTGTTGAGAGAGAGAGAGACTGTGACGTTGTTGTGACCTTTTGAAGCCATAACAGCCGCAAAAATGGGAGGAGATGCATAATCCCACAGTACTTGCAAATTAACATAGTAACGCATGGGTTTGTATTACTAGTGCGAATTCTGTAACCTTCAGTGAACCGATGCAACGCGGAGTCGTCTTTGCTGAACCACAATAAGCTGCGATGACCGACTTAAGGACACTTTGTTTTGATATGAGAACTTTGGCAATATTCTGAGACAAAATCATGCCTGTTCGTGGTTGAGTATCAAATGGTCTTGTGCTTTTTCTTTCTTAAGTTCTTAACTATGTTTTCCTTCTTAAATCATCAAACAACCTGTTTTTGTACAGCCCTGCAATTTCTAAGTGTAAATTTAGCAAAATATGTTATCTGTGGAGGTTTATGTTTTAGTAATATACACTGGAATCATATCTGACTTGTCCGCTCGCCCCCACACGATGATATACTCGTGTCCATGGGGGAGGAACAGCCCTATAGAGCGACAGCTGTGTTGTGTGTGATCACGCTCCGAGTGTCCACACTGGACCAGGAAAGCCTTTTCCTGGTGTCCCCCAAAAGACACGGTGAAGTTCCAGCACTCACTCTATTAACCTTAGGCCGGTCTTATTTCACCACAGCGTTCTTTGAATTTGATCCATTCAGGTGGTGACACTTAACAAAGGAGAGATCTCTGTGTTTTTGGACGGACTCGAGAACAATAAAGACGATTGCGGTCTGTGGTTTGGGTGGAAACTATTTGCCTTAAAAAAAACGGTCACCTGGACTTTTAGCCAGTGTATTAGCCTCATCCCCATAATGTAAAGGAGTAATACATAATAATAAGAATAATAATGATAATTATATTAGTAATAATGCTCATACACAAAAAAATATCCCCTCTGGCTTTTTACAAAAAATCTTCTATTTACTGTTTTTTGAATCTATTTTCTGTTCCTTATTTATGTCTACATGTGGATTACCCTCCATGTCTGGCCTCTGTAAACTACTGTCTGACTGCGCAAACCTCCTCAAAGGGCAGTGCACCGAGTAAGAGTGGCATGACCTGAACATTACTAACTTTATGACCTTTGTCTTGTGTTCTTACCACCATGAAATAAAATGTCAACCAATGGAGCCCCGTTCTTGTCAGACGTCTTGATTTTGTCACACAGTCTGGAGTTGATTTGCATTTCCACGACTCTTTAAATGGTAAAGATGGTACTGTTCTACATTACATCAACAAATCCTGTGAAAAGATCAAAACCAACAATGTGTTAGTCTGTCTCTCAATGCTTTCCAACTTCCTGTCAGCCCCAAGCCAATCGTTCCTACTGAAGATGTAAATCTTTAAAAACAGCTCACAGATATACACTTCTTTTTTTTTAAAGGCTCAGTAATTTCCTAAAACAGGCGGGCACTGTATTTTTTTACAGGCGTAAATAGTGTATTTTTTGGGGGACTATTTTCAGATGTGGATTAATAAGCAATTGGTGTGGTTTGAGTAATCGCACCAGGATGGTGTAGTGGTAGTGACTCAAAATAAACTACAGTGCCCAAGTTGACATTTTTATGTCCTGAAACTAACAATCGTGTTAAAACCAACGCTGGCTCATCAGAAAGCCTTTTTTGTCTTTTTAACGTTACTTACACTGTACCTTTAAATCTCCAGTCTGTCTTAATGAGAGCTTTCTGCTCACATTTTGATAAAAAGGTCCAAGAGAAACAGTGTTTCTCCAAATCAAAAGAAAATTCAAGTCTCCGCGCTCATCAATAAACAATATTTCTGACAACAATGATATTTACTTCTTATAATTCAAATCACCTTCAGCAGTCTGTAGTGCCCTGCTGCTAATTAAAAGCCTGGAATTCAAGAGAAATAAACCAACTATCGCACAGACACATAGAGCATTTTCATTAAGCCTGAGAATGAATGAGATTCATGTATTCCTTGCTGATGACAGAGGACACCGCATGTGTTGTGTTAATTATGAGGTGGTGTTAAGGAAATAGTATTGCTTAGTGAGGGATCCTTCTGGGGACAGATTGCTTACAAGTTAATAAGCCTAAGTAGTTTGATTAAAGGGTTTTCCAGGAATTCAAATTAAAAAAAAACACGAGATACATTTATAGAACTGAATAATGAAATAGAGGATCACTGCTCGGGTGACGCCCAGCGGAGCTAGAAGGTTGAGACGGCTCGGGGTTATATGTGTCTTTCGGAGGACACGGGATTCACAGAACTGAGTTTGATTCACGAGTTGAGTGGAGCTGCAGAAGGAAGAGCTCAGAGGCAGACAGAAAAGATGTGCGGTTTCAACACGTGTTGGAATGCAGCTTGTTCAAAGGTCAAAGTGGAGTTATGAATTATGCAACAAACTCCGGCCCTCTTGGGATGAAATTTCATCAGAGCCGCCAACCTTAGCCAAACACAGGCCCTAGAGTCCCCGACATCATCTGTTGAAGTCAACACTGTTTTTCGAAAATCACTGAAATGAACTTCCACGAATGTTTTCTAAAAATGTCGGACAGTTACTCCCCTGAAATAAAAGACTGGCCCTTGTTACATTTCACCCCCTTTTGTTGGATAAAGTTCCTCTCTCACAGCTTTTGATGGCCCCAGCTGTCCAGCTGCGTCACTCTCAGTATAAGTCCTCTTTGTTTCCCTGTCCCGGTTTTTTTCAATCTTTGGACGGGCAGATTTGCAAGTCTCAAGGCAAAAGAGGTCAAAGGCCACAAGCCTATAGCAGCAGTCACCTCGGGGTAGATGGGACATCCTGGTTTCCATTCCCCTGGGTGGGAAACCAGGCTTTGTGCTCTTGAGTCTTTTTGTCCCCCCCTAGACTCAACAGGACATCAGTCTGCACGGTGATAAAAGGTGAACGTTTTTGTCCGGGAACCCTGTCACAGCTTTCTACAATAATTTAAAATACATATACATTCTTTAAATAAGTTAATCATCAGCAAACCCCACTATTTTATTTTAAAAATGCGTGTGTATTTTTTTGTATTCTTCCAGGCATTTATTCTTTCCCTTTCTGTTTGGTGTAAAAATGAGTTTATTTGCTGTTGTGATGCAGTGTGGTCTTTTCTAATGAATCGGCACATGGAACACTTGGATAATATATCCAGATCATTCAAATGTAAATTACGCATTGGAAATATCCAGCAAAAATAAAAACTATTCAATGTACCTCAAGGTTATTTCACTTTGCTCAGTCCTACAAGGCCGCTTCAAACCTTCACCTCAAAGCAGCAGCTTCGGGGTTAAAGTTATTACATCTGGATTATGTTTCCATTACAGACAAGGGACCCTGTTTAATGACCACAATTACAATGTTTAAGGTCATGACCTCTCGGAATCGCACCCCCAACACAACAACACAAACAAACAGTAAAGCACAGCTTGATTGACCTTTTTTCTCAGACATGTGCTGAAGCCAAAGTGAGCTAATTTACCCCGGTTATCTCCTGTCACTGCAGCACTGAAATAGTTTCCCATCGTCCTTAAAGCCCACACAAGACATACACCACACAATAAATGGTAATGACTTTGTTTTTTTGTATCAATCACTTTTAGTACTAAACACTTAATGTGCATTCAGTGTTATCCCAATATTCAGCCATTTCTCACCCTCCTCATCAATTTCCACTTTGTATCGATCAGAGACTAATGCCCTTCCATTCTGCGACACGATTGTTTTAACTGCTCATGAGACCCGAACAATGAACCCTATGTTCAAACCCGTGTGTCCTGCCTCAAGCACATTTCATCTGGCAGAGGAAAACAGCTACTCTGGGCAACAGAAATGCCACGGAGAGAAGAAATTCCCT